GTCAAATGCCAACGCTTTCCCAAAGATACTGTGTATTCCAGTACCTCTGAGCCTGGGGTGTAGGGAGTGACTGCCAGGGATACTCACAGGGGTTGATGTCAATGTACCCCTCAAGGAAAAGGAGCCAGTGAGGTGCCCCATGGTCTGTGCATCTTTCTCTCTGTTGTGCCCACTAACATCAGTCTAGTTTCAGGCTGGCAGGCTAAGCTGTATCAGACATCTGGTAGCTGGCAAACCCGAGGCCAGCCCAGCTAGAAGAGGGCTGGCTCCTTCCCCTGGGACATCCTCTCCCCCATGCTATAGGAGGACTGGATTTGGCACCCTAAGATGGTCCTGACTCTCTGCCTGGCTAGCGAGGACCAGCCCTGCCTCAGGTCCTCGCTAGCCAACCCCATCTAACTCAGCTACTCTTGGTAGATCCACGAGACCATTGAATCCATCAACCAGCTGAAGACGCAGCGAGATTTCATGCTGAGCTTCAGCAACAACCCGCAGGACTTCATTCAGGAATGGATCAAATCCCAGAGGAGGGATCTCAAGGTGAATTTGGGGCCCTGGCAAGAGGTGGGCTAGGGAGAGTTGGGGGCTGCACTGGCTTGTGGGGCAGGGCCCTAGAGAGACAAGCTCCAGAAGGGACTGGTGCAGTGTTAACAGCTGGCAGGGCTGGGGCAGGCCCAGAGCAGCTCTTTGTGGCCACTGTGGAGCTGTGGATCCTGAACTCAGCACAGTGCCGAGTCCAGCAGTGGCTGGTGCAGGACTTGCCTTGGGGGCATCCCTGCAGGTGGTGCTGCCCTGCCAGGATTGGAGAGGGTTTTTGCTTGGGATGGCAGCTGGGATTTGTGAAATTAGGAATCTGCTCCCCACTTTCTCCCCCCTCCCTGCTGTGCTATAGATCATTACGGATGTGATTGGGAACCCGGAGGAGGAGAGACGAGCAGAGTTCTACCAGCAGCCCTGGGCACAAGAAGCTGTGGGCCGGCACATCTTTGCCAAGGTGAGGAACCGTGTGGGGCTGGCCACTGACCAACTGGCTGGGCCTGGCCCTTCATTCCTTTTTTTCCTCCCCTCAGGTGAGTCCCAGAACATGGGGGTGCAGCTCCTTTCCACTCTGCCTGCTGCAGCCTCCTCTGTGAGGGTGATTAGGAGCCAGGAACTCCCTGCTGCCAGCACAGTCCTGGGTGGTGACTGCTTTGGAATGGAGCCAGCTCGGTGGGGGGCGGGGTTGGACCCCAGTGTTGAACCCTGATAAAATACCTCCTTTGTAGACCAGGAGAAATGTGTTGGATCAAAGTGATCTGGACCTAGGACAGGACTTGCAGTACTGCTTGGGAAATCAATGAGCTGGGTATTGGTGCACTGATGGGAAAGCACTGACTAAGGAGACTATGGGTGATGCTGAAGGGAGGTGATCAGAGTAGCTCCTTCAGGTTTGATGTTGAAACCCGACTTCTTTATAATCTTGGCCACAAAGTTGGTGGTGCTCAGGTTTCAACAGTATGCTCCTATGTGAAATGACTGTGGAGAGGGCACTTCCAGTAGGAATAGGGAGGTCTGAGTGTACTTCTGAAACCTCACCTGGAACTGTGGAAGTTCTGGTTGTGCTCTAGGAAGATGGATAGAAACTGAAACAGGTTTAGAGAAGGGCCCCAAGGACAAGTGGGGGAGCGGAGAGCCTGTTTCAGCTGGGTTTGTTTAGCTTTACAAAAAAGTAAGGGCTGAGGTGCAGGGATGCAATCATCCTTTTATCATATTTCTGGGGGTTGAACTCTAGGGACAGAGAGGAGCTGTTGACAAGTGGGACTGAGAGACTTGTTTAGGTTGGAAGCAGGAGGGAGGTGTCCATCCATCTGGAACAGCCTCCCAACAGAAGTAAATAGGGATCAGGCCAACCTATTAGGTTTTTAAGATGAAGCTTGATCTGTTGTTGGACAGGATTATAATGGTGTGTTGCCTGCAGTCATAGGGGATGGGACTCAGTGATCCAGGAGGGCCCTGCCAGGCTTATGTCTGGGAGTTTGGTTTGCTTCCTAAAAAAGAGCGTTCCCCCTTCCTGAGCAGCCCACCTCTTCTCAAAACCACCACCCTGTCCCCAAGCACAGCTAATTGAGGGGGCTTCCATCCCTGCCTGCCCCTCAGGCTGGAAGGGTAGACAGCTCTAGGATCTCTGTGGTTGTTCTTAGCTTCCCTGTCTGCAGGGAGTGTGATCTACGTTATACTCACTAGGTGGCTGTAGAACTGACTTCAGTCACACAGGTTTGGCCCAGCTGCAGGTACGGATATTCAACCCATGCCGTGAGGACCAGAGGGATGGAGCAGACAATGCAAGGCTCTGAAACAGCTCTGGGCATCAGGCAGAGGCCATCTAGCATCTCTGGCAGGGCTGGGATTGTCCCCTTCTCCTTCCCAGCAACTGGAATTTTTCTCAGTTGTCTTCACTGAGTCTGCCCAAACCTTTCAGGGTGTCGATTGTGGGCTTGGGTAAGCCCTGCATCTGTGAGCCCAATCCAGCCTGTAGGTTGCTGCTCTGTCCCAAAGGGGCAGAGTACATTCCCCTCTAGCACTTGGCAGGCACATGGAAGTGTTTCCCCAGCCAGCCTGACCAACCTCATGCTACCTTCTCTTGTTTTTCAGGTGCAGCAGCGTAGACAGGAACTGGAACAAGTGCTGGGGATTCGTCTCACCTAGTGGGCTGGCTGTGGCTCAGGGACTCTCCTCTTCCCCTCTCTTCCAACACCTGAGCCTTACGGTACTTCTTACTGGAATCAAATACAGCACTTGCACAAAGCCTGTGACTGGGGGCTGAGCCACTAGCACCCTGAGAGGCTCTCCAGCACCACAGGGCCCCATCTTGGGCAGGAAGCTGTAGCCAAAGGCAGAAAGGGGTGTGTTTGGGTCCTGTGGGACCCAGGCAGGCTCTGCCTTGTTTCTTGTAGCCATTCTTTATTTCAGCCTCTCTTGCGTTGATATTGCTAACTTTCTGCGGTGTGCTGTTTGCTCCTCCCCCCAGTGTTCAGTGCAGTCTTCTGTCCAAACAACATTGCAGGCTCACTCCCTTCCCCAGGGAAGGAGGCTTGGAGCTCTTCCAGCTTGGGTCAGAGCCCTGGCGGAGCTGTTGAATGGTGGGTACGAGCTGTCCTGGCTGTGGGTCTCTAGTGACTAGTTCCAAACACTCTGGCTACAGAGCTTGCTCTGTGCAACACTGCTGCCAGCAGCCCAGCCTGCTCTGGCACTAGCTGGGAGAGGGCACCGTTTGCTTTCTGCAATGCCCTCCCCTGGGTCCCTGTCCCAGCTGCTCCCATGTTCTGCGGAGGCACGAGCCTGCCTGTCATTTCTCAACCAAAGTTTTGTCCATTCCAAAAGGCCGGCCTGTCCGGCCCCCATGGTTTTGCACTATTTTTGTGAACAGGTTTTATAAAAAGGAAGCCTTTTGTACAGCGGGTTTGTATTTGATTAATATATTAGAGTTCCTCTCTAGTACTGCACTCAAATGGAGATCTATGCAGTGGGATCCCTTGTGTTCTTGGGAAGGGTTTGCTCAGGCCCCTTGTAGATGCCTTTTTGTAGGTAACTGAGCTTTTGGCCTGAGTCTTTGACAATCAGTTGCATTATTTCCCCCTCTTGCTGTTTTACCTATCGCAACCTGTCTTTGTGATCTATATGAGGTATGTCATGCGGGAGGTGCTATGCCCTCAGGAGTCTGAGCAATGGCAAGGAGAAGCAGTGCTGGTTTCAGCCCTGTGTGCTGCTCCTGGGCCCTTTGGAGCAGGTGGCCATGGCAGGAGCAGTCTATACCCATCAAACACTGATGACAGTGGCCATGGCAGTAAGCATGATCTATTCTGTGGCTGCATGTTGGGAAGCCAGAGCCATGGCTCTGGGGTAGTTCACTGGGCAAGGGTATTGGGATACGTGGAAAGGGTGCCAGTGTGAGCCAGACTTTCCCAAGTGCCTTACTGACTCTAGCCAAAGCCACAGGCATGTTTGGCCCCAGGGCTTCCTGCCTTTGCACTATGACTCCTTGCTGAAGAGCATGGCCTCCCCGTTTCCTGTGCTGTAGCTAGTGTGATGGGTGCAAGCAGTGTAGCCCTGCCCTTCATTGCAGAGTAGAGGTAGGCAGAGGGTGGGGTGTTTACATGCTTACCATGGGGAAGGCTCAGGGGTGCCTGCTCTTGCTGTTGTGTAACCATGTGTCTGTTTGGATATTTTCTAATAAAAACACTTTGCAGCAGTTGGTGTCTGTTGGTGTCCTGCATGACCGTAACCAGCAGCTTGGCCCTGGGTGGGGAGTACAACTACTTCCTCAAGTAAGAACCTAGCACAGTCCTGCAGACAGAAGAGCCAGTGTAAGCAGCAGGCTGTTCTGATCTGTAACCCTGATGCCTCGCAACAGGAGTCAGTCCTTCAACTCCCATGCAGGCCTGAGGGTGCCATAACATCCTTTGGCTAAGACTTAACCAGCACTTTGGGGCCTGCAGCCAACCCTGCCCAGGGCCTGTTTGTGTGGCAGGCTTCAACATGTTAGCACTGTTGCGTGTTCCCTAGGCATATGTGGAAACCATTAGAAAAATCAAAACAAAACAAAACTGAGGTGCCATCAGTACCAAGGGGAAAAGCCTGTGAGCAGCCACTTCTTTCCTCAACCACAGATGTCAGTTATCAAATGGACTACACTGGTGTGTTCCAGAGCTACCAAGAACTCATTCACATGGGCGTAACTCAAGGCTACAAGGGAGCTTTCTTGCTGACAGAAACCAATTTTGTGTCGGTTCCCTCCTGCTGACAGGATCAGTGCCCTACTGTAATCCTAATCCTTGCTAGCTAGTTACCTTCTACAGTCTGCAAGGTACAACTTGGACACCACAGAGATTTATTAATGAAATTGAGCAAGAAACAAACCAGGAAAGCAGCAACAACAGCTTTGGGCCAACAGGGCTCAGTCCTCTTCACTTCCACAGCTTTTTGATAGACATGTTCTTTTCACTGTCTTTCTGCATCACCTAGGAGCAAGGAGGCAAAAGTTAGATCTCACTGGTTGTCTCCAAGCTTGCTAAGGGAGGTCACACTCCCTTTAGCCACCTGAGAAGACAGGCCTCTTTTCCTGGAGCTTGTGCATTCTTTGCTGCAGTAGCCTCAGGCATGATCTAGCTCTCATGGACTGGGCTACACTACCTACATCACAGTCCTCCAAGCATTCAAAGCCAGGGAAGCAGATGGACTTTAGAGCAAGGAACCAGGTTATCCCACAAGGCTTCACCCATTCTCACCTTTCACAGAGAAGTTGCAGCTCTGTGGACTCAATCCCTACTTGGGAGATGGAGTGGCATTATCCAACTGAACCTGGAGCCCTGTTAGACCATTTGGGCACTTTCATGTCCTGTTCCCAAACGCTACTGCTGAAAGTCTGCTTGTGGCCTGAAGCAGAAAGGCTAGAGCTCTAGGTATGACTACCTAGTTGACATCCTGATAGCCTGTGGTGTAATGGCATAGCGTGAAGTAGGGGTGCACCGATAGAGATTTTTGGGGCTGATAGCAATAGCTGATAAATAGGAGGCATATCGGCTAATACTAATCCGATTTCTGATACACAGCTCTTCAGTTTGGCAAGCAGCATTGAGCTGGTTAAGTCTGGTGGGGGGTGCAGATCAAGGCCCCTGCAGTGAGGGAGGGAATGGGGCTGGCTAAGGCTGACCAGCCAGGGCACAGGTGTGGGCATTTATTCGACAAATTAAAAAAAACAAACAAACAAAAGCAACAAAAAAACACAAATCTGCTGCATTGGGCCGATTTACAATACAGAAATTTTTCTTTGTATCAATGCCAGTCTGATATTGGATCAACGTATCAGTGGACCGCTAATGTGAAGGCCCTGCTCTAAGGCTTGCTGTGGTCATTTCATTGTGGGTGTCCCTATTCTGGCCCAGCCTGCAGATGCATTAACACTACTGCCTCCATGCAGTGGGGCATGTTTATCAGCCTCCTTTAAGTGTGTGTTCCCCCTTGCTCCTCTCCTCTCCCTGCAAGGAGAAGAGTCTTAATCTCTGGCAGCTTTACTGGAACCCAATAAATTCTGTCATCCACCTATAAACTGCCACCACCTTTCAGAGATGGGGGAAGGGGTAGCTGTGTGCATGCACACATGCATCTGTCCAACACTGGACTGTTTTAATAAAATGGGTCAGCAGTAAGCCACCCATTCCTTCCAGTGCCTGTGAGGTGCCAACTGGCTATGGGGCTAAGAGTTCTTTCTCAATCACAGACTTGTATGTTTTGTTCTTTCAAAGCAGTCAGACTCTCTGGCCTAGCAAAGTCACACAAGCAGGAACAATAGGAGGGGCTTACCTTGGCTACAGCCATTTCAAAGTCTTCCTGTGTAACATGCACCCTCCTCTCCCTCAGTGCATACATGCCAGCTTCTGTGCACACACCCTGCAAAAGGACAAGAGAGAATCACTCCCTGTTCTCTACTGCTCCCTGCAGAATGGCTCTCAGCTGGATTGTCAGCAGGTGACATATCCCATGCATCTGATGGACATCCCCCAGCTGCAGGCACTTCCTGACATGAGAGGCTAACCCAAAACCTGACAGCAGGGTTCAAACCAAACCTACTGCAGGAGTCAGGCTGGTAACATTCCCACTGCAAGGAGCTCAGGGAGACCCTGTGCATTCAGGAGAAACTGCTGCTCCACTCGATGCACCCATCCCAACCAATGCCTTTGTCAGGAGCCCTCTCCCCACTCCAGACAGCTTTGGCTCTGCTGCACTCACCTTCACCTCAGCACCAGAGGCTCCTGGCATCAGCTCTGCAATTTTACGGAGGTTTATACCCCGCGTTAGGTTCATTTTCCGAGAGTGGATCTTCAGAATGTCTAGGCGAGCCTGTGGGGAAGAGGGCCTGGTCATGGGTGAGGGCCAGCAGGGGCAAGGACTGATCCAGGGTGCATGGCAATCAGGCCAGCCCAGTCATTCAGCTGAACTCTAGCTTGAGAGCTTCCCCAGACACCCTTCAGGGTTGACACTACAGAAGCCGACCACAGGCCTTGTCCACAGCCCCTAAAGGAAAGCCCCAGCTGCAGGCTGACAGGGCCCCAGGCCCCAGATGGGGGAAAACCAGTAGGCCTGGCCCTAGGAACAAAGGGGATGAGCCTGCAACCAGTCGCATTGCATCTGCCTCCCAGGGCCAGCTCCACCTTACCTCTTCATTTGGAGGAGGGAACTCAATCTTCCTGTCAATGCGGCCGGGGCGTAGCAGTGCAGAGTCCAGGATGTCTATCCGGTTAGTGGCCATAATGACCTACGAGGGAAGAAATGGTTACTGATGCTGCCAGGGTCCTAACTTGACCTCTACCTGGGAGCCTCGTTCTGCGAACCAGCTACATTAGGCCTCTGGTGACGCTTAGTCATCACCACCCTCGGGTCACACCCAGTCAGGATGCATCCTGTTTCCTACTCATCCTGGGCAAACTAATGGGAACTGGAAAGGGAAATGGAAGCCTTTACTTGCCCCTGGCACAAGCTGGGGAGCTGAAGTGCAGCCAGGGGAAGCACCTTGTCCAACATCACACAGTGGCAGAGATGCTGAGAGCCTCCCTCCCTCCCCAGTGTTGCCCTGTCACTCACTTTGATGTTTTTGGTGGCTTCGAAGCCATCAAGCTGGTTGAGGAGCTCCAGCATGGTGCGCTGCACCTCGCTGTCACCCCCAGAGCCACCTTCCAGGCGAGAGGAGCCGATGGAGTCGATCTCATCCATGAAGATGATGGAAGGAGCGTGCTCTCTGGCCATCACAAAGAGCTCCCGCACCATGCGTGCACCTGGGGGCAAGAGAGAGGCCCCTCAACACTCTGCAGCAGGACAGGACATGGCTAGGTAGCAGATACTCTAAAGGCAGGGGTTCCCAAAGTTTTTATGCTGCAGCCCGGCAAACCACGGCCCAGCAGTCACAGCCAACCGCAGCCAGAATTTCCATCTGGAAGACAGGTAAGAATACCCCCACCCCTGGATGGGGGGGAAGGGGGCTGGGCCAAATTCTGTGCTGCTGCAGGCCTTGCGGAAGGAGGTGTGGTTTGCTGGTCCACGGCCACTTCTGGTCCAACAGCCGACCCATGGCCCAGGGATTGAGAACCCCTGCTCTAAGGGATGGAGCTATGAACCCAGAGAGCTCCTGGCCAGCACCAGCAGCACCCTTTACAGTGAAGCCAGCCAGTGAGCCCAATCTAGGGAGTGCTCACTGCACTATGAGGGACAAGGATACTATCTGTCCATCCATTAGCTAGGCACAGGCCCTTGTGATGCAGCTCACATAGCTGCCTGAGGAAGGCATTCAACTGAGCCACAACCATGCATACTTGGGCTCACTTGGCTCTGTGGAATGGGAACACAAGCCCCAAGGAGGCCATGCAGTGCCAGAGCTCATGTACTTGCCAGGGCCTAGCATGGAAATGCTCTTAGGTGTTGACTGCCTCTGTCCCTACCACAACCTCCTCTCCACTGCAGTCACCCTGCCCTCCTTCACACCTACCCTCGCCAATGAACTTCTGTACCAGCTCAGACCCTGAGACACGGATGAAGGTGCAGTCAGTGTGGTGAGCCACAGCCCGGGCAAGCAAGGTCTTCCCAGTGCCAGGAGGG